TAGCATTCCATCATACGCATCATATCAGGTTCATAACATTGTTAACATCATAATTCGGTTCGTTTTGTCTGTAGCATTGCATATCACTGCATCTAAGCGCAAAATTTTCGGTTATTTGTATTTAAATCCCTTTCACCATGATTTCTCGAGCCTACGCTGCTCAAATCATCCGGTGAAGCTATTTAAATAGGGGCAACTGTAATACCCCAAATTTTACCCTTAGTTTAGTTGTTTCATTTTGCATTTTCACCCCATTCTGCATTGCATTGTAAACTAACCACTAACGAGTTTGCTCAATCTGTTGGTTTTTGCATGATAAATCACACGATGCGCTCTTTAACTTATGAAGGGAAAAAGGATCATTAAGTTGCAGCCCGCTGACAATTTATGAAGCTGAGTCGTCTTCAGGAATCCCTTGAGCGACCAGGGTTTCCATCTCTGAGTCAGGTGACTTTTTTGGTGAAGAACTAAATTTTGCAACAATATTGACGTCAGACGTCTCGTGACACAGCGCATTTTATTCAAGAGCCGAGATTTAGTCGTCAGTTGGGTTGAAGTGTTGTTTGAGTAATAAGCCATCTGGAGGTGAATGTGTTGAGATATCAGTGGGTTCGGGTTAAATCGGTGCGAGAATATGCTTTGAATAATTTATTTTAACAGACGCATGTTTTCCTGCTTTCGGCTGGTCGATGGTCGATTTCAAAAGAACAGTGGAGTTTCGGTGCGCATTTGAATTTATAATGAATATCTTTTGGTTTGGTCATGATTGTTAGCTGAGCTGGTTCAGGTTACCGAGTTAAAGTAGTCGAGATGCGGTTTGAATTTTCAATACGGAAGACAGTTCGTTCTGCCGTTTAGATGAATTTCTCTGCTTATCCGTTCACCGTTAATATCGGGTACGAATTAATTTGCAAGATGATTTGTTTGAACTCAGTTACGTCAGATTTAAATCGTGCGAATGATTAATTGCCGAGTTCGGAGTTGGAACGTCACAGCTTAATCGGATAAATTTAATTAAATGAATTTATTTGAATAAGTTTAATTGGATGACTTTTAATCGGATGACGTTGATCAGGTGAATTTAGCCAGGTAATTGAATCATTTGAATTTATGGATTTAAGTAGATGAATTAAATGAATTTCAGTTGATTGAGTTTAATCAGGCGATTTTAATTAGAGAAGTTAAATCGAGAAATAAAGTCGGTTCGTTGAAAGTGGGATTTATTTATTTAAATTCTATGTTTTTTTTTACAAAATACAAGAAGTAATTGAAGAATCAAATTTATTTATTAAATTCTATTTTACAAAAGAAATTACAAAATAATTTCCTAAGTACTAAGTTCCTGATGGTTCTAAGGTGGTCTTCGTATCCGACTCATCGACTTTTGATTTTTCTCGGACCTGCAAAACAAGTTAACAACAATTGAAAATAATAGAATTAATTAAAGCTGGTTTTTCGGTCCCGATACCCTCAGTTAATTATCATCATCGGGTACGTCGGGAGGGTAACAAAATATTCTGCTGCTAGCTCCCGACTCCATTTCCGACCCCGACACGGATCCGGCAGATTTTGAAAATAAGTGCTTTTGAAAAAAGCACTTATTCAGAAAATGGGTTTTGCCAAACAAGTCATAAACAACATTTCCCAAAAAGTTCTGAACCAAAACAGATCAAACGAACTTCCTGGAAAAGTTCCATGAAGAACGCAAGCAACCAACTTCCTGAGGAACGCGCAACACCTTTCTCAAAACCAATCAAACAAACATTCCAAAATTCCCACAACAAATTCCAGCCTCAAAACCACAAAATCTGCAGCAACAACAAACTTTCCTGAAACATTGTAACAAGCAAACAACATCAAAATAAATCGCAACAATCATCAACAAAATTTCCATAAAATCCTCAACCAAAACGCCACCAAATCGTAACAATAAGGAAAATCCAAGCCCAGAATCCCAAATCAGAACTCAATATAAAAAAAGGAGTTCAGCAGAGAAAAATGGGGGATCGTCACGAAAATAACAGAAAAAACCTAGTTCATCAGACGAACCCAAAAAAATCTAAAGGGGATCATCATCAGATCAAAGAACAATCTGCGGTGGCAAGCAAAGCCCGGCCCCAACCGCAGCTGAAATCCATCGCATGCATCAAATCGAGCCCAACAAACAAAGCCGCGAAGAACCATCACTCAATCGCCTCAGAAGATTAATTTCATCATCGGTCGGAGAACTAACCCTCATCGTGAATCATCATCTCGCCACCGCCAACCCGTGGTGACACACCTTACAGAGCCGTGAGCTTTCTCCCTTGCTAACATGATTATTATATGGTTTTTTTGTGTTTTTGCAGAAGAAGGAGGGAAGAGATGAGCAAGAAGAAGAAGAAAAAACTTCAACAAGCAGCAATGGCCGCCGCCACGGAGAAGAGGAAAGGGTCAAGAAACCCTAAACATTCAGTGCTAACATTTTGCTCATGTCCCCTTTTATATTTTACTTCATTTTTCTATTTCTTTTCTATTTCTATTTCTTTTTTCTTATTTATTTTTAATTCAAATGTTATTAGTTGGACTATTAAGTTTATATTAAAGAAACCTAAACCTCTATTTGATTAAACTTTAATGTTAAAACTTATAATAAAAACCACTTTTTACCTTAAAATCCTTTCTCTAAATTTTTTTTAATTAAGAATAGTTTCTTAAAAACTTAATTATTAAAACCATTTTCTTTTTTCACTTAAATAAAAAACTAAAATTAAAACTATTTTTAAAATTTAATTTAAAAATTTAATTTGGAATTTCAATTCTCAAATCAAGAATTAAAAATCCTAAAGTTTCAAAGTAACATTTTTTATAAATCTAATAAAATTAATTTAGTTTAATTTATTAATTTTCTAGATAAAACTTTGTACATATTAAATTTTAATCTTTAGAAAAAGTAATTTAAAACCAATCACAAAATTTAACTTTTAAAAAAAGTTTAAAACTTTTAGAAATTAATTTTAAATAAACTCCCCCTTTTTAGGTATGACTACTTTTTTTTAATTAAAAACTTTTTCTTAAAATATGTCTAACCTAATTGTGTAGCCTTTCGCTTTCGGTTTCGAGCTAACCGTCGTCTAATTGTAGATTCGCCCCATTTAATTTTGTCTAACGCTTATGTTGTTCTTTCGTTCTTCTCAGTTTGTACAGTTATTAATCTTTTATTTTTCGTACTTCATTTTTTGAGTTGTAATTTATGCGAGGCAATCGTCGTTTTTGTTCCGTTATTATTCCCGCAATTTCCCGTATTTCAATTTCGTCGCTTATGTAATTTGTCATTTGCATTATTTATCGTAACCCCCTCCGAAGGAATAGGTCTAACCGTTTGACCATCGTGTCAATAGTCCCCACCCTTGACTTTTTCCATACGCTAATTGCCTAAGCGTCCCGCCGTGGACTAAATTACACTTTACCCTAGCATTAGGATAAGGAGTCGCCGTACTCCATATTAGGTTTCCCGCCGTGGAATACTTATTTTATTTTTTTTAATTCAATTCAATTCAACGTATAAATAGGAGTCGCCGCACTCCACGTAAGTGCTTCCAAATGAACGCTTATTCCCCATTGAAACCTTGACCACAGTCAAGAAGTTTCTAACCTCCCTTTCGAGGAAAACTACGATTACTCTGATTCCAACCCCTACCTCGGATACGTAGGCACAAGATGCGAGTCTTGACGAGTAAACTTAGGACTGACCCTTAGGTCTTTCTTTTCACTTCTAACCCTTAGCACATATACCCTCAAGCAAATAATCAAGCAAAATAGTAAACATTTAAAAAAAAGGTTCATGTAGAGTACTACAGAAGTTTAGGATGCTAATACCTTTCCTAGGCTTAACCAACCCCTTACCTAGATCTCTCCCCGCAATGTTTACGATGCAAAAATTATGTTTTTTCCTTCTTTGACCTTTCCTTCGGATAAATTAAAGACCGGTTGTGAATCAAAGATTTGCGATTCAAATTAATTAATAATTTGATATCATATTCTCACCGCAACAATACCCTATTTCTCTAGAGGGTCGGATATTCTATTCTCTACACCTACTTTTGTATTTGCTCTCCCACTCTGATCTTTTACTTACTTACTTAAGCATCTGAGTGCCTTGCAGATACACTCCCTCCTTCTCCATACCTCCGGTAGAAGTTACAATTCAACGACGCGTGACAGACCCTTGATCCCTTCTGATCAGGTACGATCACATTACAATCTGAATCGTCAACAAATGTGAGATAGATGGAGGATACAAGTTCTTTTTTTTTGGTTGAAGTTGATTTCTTAATAAGTCAACATTGAATTACCCACTTTCTCTAACTGACTTCAGAATCTTTTATTGTGTCTTAGTTAATAACGTATCTATAGTCTTGACCTACTCTAAAGAGATCAATGATTTTCGATGTTGCTAATAGTTCTTTTGATATGATTGGTGAATCTAATGAACAGAGTTCTAGTCAATTTTCTACTCCACACTACCTCGTAATTTGCGTGTCTTATAGAGTTTTTCTCTTGTTTTGATTGTTCGTCTTCCTTAGTTTAAATTTATTGTTATCCTTTAGTTTTGTCTATTAATTTTTTTCGCTTTTTACTTAACACTTCTTGTGCCAATTGATTCTTCAATATGTATTGTTGGATGTTCACCTTTAATATAACTATATCAATTATTTTGTTACTTGGAGACATTTAACAAACATATTAAATAGATATATACGGTACACATCAGGTCGGCAATTAAAAAAACAAAAGAGAAAGAATGATAGGACGTTGAAAGCGATGCAAGTGTGTAACAGCGGAACAGTACATTGCATTTCCAGGTGACCAAAAAAAAAAAAAACGAATCGATCGACATTGGCGCCCCTTTTCCCTTTTCTCTCACATCTCTCAAACCTCGATCCACAATTCAATTTTCACAACTATAACTATAAATTCAAATCCCTTAATCCTTACTTATCCCTAATAATCCACAATCAATGGCATTACGCAGACGAACTTTGCTCAAAGTCATTGTTCTTGGAGACAGTGGGTAAGTCTATCCTAACCGCAACCGTTTCTAGGTTTTTTTTTTATCTCTTTCCCCTTTCTGATTTTTTAATAACTTCATTCATTTTTGTTAGGGTTGGAAAAACTTCATTGATGAATCAGTATCCTCTGCCCTTACTTTATTGCTTTATTTGATTCTCAGCTTATTTGTTTCTTTTAATTTAAATTTGGGATTTTCTTTTATAAGTGAGTGGGTTGTTGAATTATAACTATGGGGGTTGAAGTTAAGTACTTTATGATTTGTTAGGTACGTTTAAATAATAGTCGAATTTACCATTTTAGAATGCAACTCTTGTCCAGGTTTTATAAATCACAGTACTTTATGATTTGATATCATGGAGAATTGAGCTCAAATGCAGCCTCAAGATGGTGAAAATAGAATTAAGGTGGTTTAGGTATTAAGACCTATAGATTTCGTGGTTAAGAGAGTAGATCAGATAGGGAGGAGTCAAACAACTAGAAGTAGAGGAAGACCTAGAAAAACTATAAGAGAGATTATTAAGAAAGATCTCGAGATTAACAATTTGGATAGAAGTATGGTCTTGGATAGAACATTATGGCGGAAGTTGATATATGTAGCCGATTCCACTTAGTGGGATAAGACTTGGTTGTTGTTGTTGTTGTTGTTGTCACAGCTCAAGCCGCAGTCACAGGCTTTTATTTAAAACGGTGTCTCGCTTTTGAGCAACTAAGTCTATTATGAGTCATTAATAATTGTTCGAATTTCCGCCTTAATTGCGATCCGCCCCTTGTCGCCTTAACTGTGACACTTTGGCTTGCCGCCTTCATTGTGTTGGGTTTGAAGGGGTGGAAATTAGTCCTACATCACGTAGATATAAGCAACGGTTCTTCTCACCTTATAAGCCGGTTTTGTAGGGTTGAGTTAGGCCCAACCCAAATTTTGAGAATAATATTAGAGATAATATATGTAAAATACTTGATATAGTCAATGAACTGACATGCTTAGTGACTACCGGAGGTTGGTAGGAATATTCCTTACTATTTTTTTGTTATTCCTGAAGGATTTAATTTAATAATGATAGATATAAATTATAACATATTGTAATATCGAGAATAATCAAGAATAATAGTAATGATGCACCTTGTCGAATTGGAGAGACGACCGGTTGAGGCGAGTGAGTATGAGAGAAATACTACCCTCATTGCCGTTTAGGGTTTTTAGAGTGTGTTAATTGTCTAATGGGGAGACACTTAAATAGTTAAACGACCAAGGGCAGGGACCTCTCATTGAGCTTAACTGAATAGTCCAACCTATAACGGTCCATTCAGGCACAAAACCCAATCAAACAATTTATCTAATTAGTATTTAATAACAATAGACCATAATATAATTAATTAATAATTTATTATGTCAATCCATATTTTATTAATTAAATAATTAATCTAACAATTCCAACTACCATCCTTAATCGTTGGTAAACTATTGCTCTCTAGCATTGAATGTGGTTTGCACATAATTAGGCTGATACATATTTAATGCTGCTGAGTTTCTTTAAATGTAATGCTTCTGGAAAGCATATGATGGTTTGGTTAAGATCAATTTAAGGTTATTCAAAGACTTTTTCCTTTTGTGAAATTTGCATTTGTGGGCCTTTAACTACTTGTTTAGATATGTGCACAAGAAGTTTAGTCAGCAATATAAAGCTACAATCGGTGCTGATTTTGTCACCAAAGAACTGCAGATCGATGACAGACTTGTTACTCTACAAGTGGGTTTTCTAGTTCATTGGTATTTCATTATTATTTTTTTATTGTGTTTAGGTTTAGTATTTTGTAGGTTGTGTATATTTAAATTCTTCACGTGTCTGGGCTGTAGATATGGGACACTGCAGGGCAAGAGAGATTTCAAAGTCTTGGTGTTGCATTTTATAGAGGGGCAGATTGCTGTGTTCTAGTCTATGATGTTAATGTAATGAAGTCATTTGATACACTTGAGAACTGGCACGAGGAGTTTCTCAAACAGGTTTACTATGTCTTCTCTATTTTTCGCATTTTGTTACTTTGGGTGATTTGCATGATAGCCTTGGTACTCTTACACTCTTTCAAATGTTAAGTTGAAATAAATTATAGGCTTTAACTTTTAATAAATAGATTCCCTTATGGTTTGTGGGACAAGTTCTGAATATAGCGCTTTAAAATTATGAAGGCAATGGAGAACCTATTTTCTTCACGCGTATAGGATTAGGATTCGTAATTAGATCTGCATATGGATTTTAAACTTCATATTTTTAATTGCAGAGGTGCCAGTAATTGATTTCGATTATTTCATATAACTTTGTTGTTTTAGTTATATTTGGTTATGTAATAACTCACGACCATGGTTTTGTTTTAATAGCATCTTCTCCAATAGTTTGTTGAGACAGAGGTTGCTTCTGAATGTTTCTTGTGAGGTTAAACAGTAGTGAAAACATAGCTTATTTAGTTTACTTTTATGTCTTGGACCATTATAAGTATTACCGTCCAAGAAGGATATTGATTCTATCTTTCCTAGCTTAATTAGTCTTCCTTCACAAAGCATATGGCGTAATGTAATTCATGCATTGCTTGCTTGTCTTCTTTTGATTTCCAAAATGTTCTCAAAGCCGTCTCAAGTTTTTGGAGGCCCTGAGTAGGTTAGCTGCAGTTTAACTATGACAAAACAAATAGAAGTCATATTTAATAAAGATTTAACCGTGACAATATTTTGAGGCCCTATTTAGCCACTGTTTAACTGTGACTAATTTTGGGCCCTGTGTGGTAGCCTGCCCTGTATGTTCTCATATTGGAGATAGTTTTTGCATACTTATTTGTTGAGAAGGACCTGCAGAATGCTTATATTTGTTTGGTGTGTCGGATAGGAATTAACTAAGAAATAAGGGAAGAACACTGGAAATTGCTTTTTTATTAAAAGAAACAAAGGACGTGTCCTCTTATAGAAAACAACAAAGGAAACTGAAATGAATGAATAACCTAATAAACGAAAAATGGAAAACAGAGGTGAACCAGAGAGAAGGGTCAGCTCCTTACTCTCTACACAACCCAAAAAACCCACTCAGGAATTGCCTACCTTCCCAATCCGTTGCCCCCTCTGAATAAGGATTATGTTATTCCCTCCCCTCATATTAATAACAAGCCTATCATCACTTCCCCTAACAAGTTTCACATTGTCCTCAAGGTGAAAGATGAATAAACCCAATAAGATAGCATGGTCCCACTGTTTGATATGGACCTGACCTATTATTGTTTCACCAAAGGATGCCTTTTGCTTTTGGTCTGGACCAAAAAAATCCTCTCCTGCAGCATAATACAGAACAATCTCCCTTTCCAGAATCTCAAATATGTATGCTACCCTGGACCTGGCCCATTAGTAGTACTCTAATCACTTCACAGCCAGCTTGTACTTCCTCCGCACAATTTTTTTGAACTAGTTATCAGTCTCATTCCACATTTCTCAGAGGCTTAAATCTTCTCATTATTGGTGTTTTTGGCCCGTTTTCTTTCTGGAAGAGGGTTCTGTTGGCACACACCACATTTTACCATTGTAACTATTTTCCATCCTTCACTGGTTGCCTTAGTCAGCTTCTCTTTCTTTGTTCTCCGAACTAGAGCTCTATGATACCTTATTAAAGATAAGAAAAAAAGAAGAAAAATGATAGAATTTTCATGTATTTATTGATTCTCAAAAATTGAACTTGATTGTTCAGACATATTCATAACATTCACTCACTAACTAACTCTGAGACAGTTTATAACTGTGAGAAACTAACCTATGTCATGCAACATGTTACAGGCTTTTAAGGCTTAACTACCTGGTGCCAATGTGACACTGAACAGGCTGTCACTGCTATAAGAAAGAAGAACCTTATATGACTTTCTTCTATACTCGCACCTACTTGGTTCACTATACCAAGATACATGTTATTGCATTCATGGATTCCAAGAATCGGAGTTTGATGCTAGTTTTTGCCTTTTGGCTTATTATATTTAACATTCTGTCTTTTTTGTAGTTATATAGAAAGTCTGGAAGTCCTTCTCTTGTCTTCTTTTAACTTTTGTGAAGTAATTTTTATAACTTGGAGCATGATTTTTTTGAGTAAATGAAGCATTCAAATTGTTATAGAATCAAATATACCACAGCATGATCTGCTATGTAATTGTACTGCTCTGGGTAGAAAATTTTCTTTTTGAAAAGATTTGAGCCCTCCGGATGTTAAAGTTCATTGAGCTGACAAACATATTACAGTTTTTCCAGTGAGGATGCATAATTTTATGGATCATTAATTACCGTTTTATTTTTGTTTAAATGGCTAGTTTGACACCTGAAGTCTCTACATTCTTTGATTTCTCTATGGACATTCATATTCCCTTTCAAAATATTACACAGCATTTACTTTGGATTTCTATTTTCTTTAACCGTTGCAGATAGGATTTGGTTATGACTAATGTTTTGTGACACAGGCAAACCCTCCAGATCCAAGGACTTTTCCATTTATATTGCTTGGAAACAAAATTGATATTGATGGTGGGAATAGTCGGGTGGTAAGCAAATGCTATTCTATTGCACTTATAGATTTCTCTGTCTCATGCTCTAGGGTCTAATTAGCTTCTATACAGGTTTCTGAAAAGAAAGCAAAGGACTGGTGTGCTTCAAAAGGCAATATTCCTTACTTTGAGACATCAGCAAAAGAGGACTACAATGTTGATGCCGCATTCCTATGTATTGCCAAAACTGCTTTAGCCAATGAGCGTGATCAGGACATGTAAGATTTGCTTTTGATTTGCATGCTGATACAGAATATCACATATAACAGACATACCATATTTCTTCAATCAGATAAGAGATTTGAACAGATGGTTGCTTAACTGACTTGTGAATTCATTACATCATTATCCTTTGCAGATATTTTCAACCTATTCCAGAGGCTGCTGCTCCAGAGAATGAACAGAGGGGTGGATGTGCATGTTGATATGAACTTTTCAATGATCTCATGAATTTGTCTCTAAATTTGTTGAAGCAAATTCTTCATATTCTTTTTTAGTCTCATTAGGTTCCTCCTTTTGTACACTTCACATGAGAGATGCTTAAGTAATTTGTGTTTTGCCCCTATAGTTCTGTTTGCTTGTGGTTCAGCTTTAGAATGTTGCATTCGTAGATTGGTTTTGTTATTAGGCAAATATTTTAATTTTTGAAATTTACATCAGGATGCTGTTCTATTGGATGGCATTTTTCTCCTAAATTACAAGAGATTTGATTTTTCCATGGCAAATTCAATTGCTCATTAGATGACCAAGACTTGAAATACAAGTTGATAACTAGTTTTCTTACACAAACACATGCCTTGTGTGATTGTAACAATGTACTAACTTTGACAAGTTCTCACTAGCCACCCTCTTATTTCTCATAATGAAGCATACACTAATATCATTCTCGCATTGGTTACTATTTTCAGCTAATGTTTTATTTAATACACTATTATTTTTTTTATTAAAATCCTTAAATTTAGTTGGGTATACTCTTAACTAATCAAATAGTATAATTTCATAATGTAACCATTATATTTTAATCTATTTTAAAATAAATTAAAATTTTATAACAGTTTGTCATTATTTTTACTTACAACCTATCTCTTTTGATTAGTGAATTGAATTAGTGTTTTCCAAACAATTCAATAACTAAATTGAATGGCAGTTCATCAGAGAATCAAAATTAAATGAATTGAATCATATTAATTAATCAAGTTTATAATATTTATGATACAGTTCAAGTGTATTCGGAAAATTGAACCAAATTTAATTAAACCATAACAAGGATTTAAAAAAACCAACCAAACTATAACTTAATGACATCTAAATTTATTTTAGGTGTCAATATTATTGGATTGCAAGCATTGTTTTCTAGCGGATGTATCTTGCACAAAAAACAAACACTAGAGTGAACAATGACCGGTCAACACTCCACAATTATAAAAATTAAACAAATTAAAATATTTACGATGATAAAAATAAATAAATATAATACTACTTTTCAGCTATAGTGGGTTAATAATAGAGCATTAAAAATTGTGTAGTGGGTAGTACTTTATATTTTTTTCCTCTCTGCTGATGTATGTTTAATTTTAATTTTAAATTTAAATTCTTCTATTAATTTTTTCTTAAAAGACTACTAATATTATTTTTTTATAACAAATTATCATTTTTGAACGACGACTCTAATATTTGAGTAATAACCTTTCTAAACTATAACAAAATAAAATAATAAGTTAAGTAGTATAACTTTCTATTATTCAATAAAATAAATAAATAATTAAATAAAAAATCATTTCATATTTTAGCATATAACATAAATTAACATTTTTATATATCATATAAAATAAATAATATATTGTACCAAATTTTTTAACGAAAGAACATAAAAACATATATCTTCTAGACCTTGCACTAAGTCCTTCAACAAGTGCAAAACATATTAAATATATTCAATCAAAATATTTTAAAATATTAAATCATATAAATAATTTATAATTTACATGCTAATTTAACAAAATACATTATTGTCATTAATTAAAAAAACTAAAAGTAATTTTCACGATCACCGCAAGAATCCCATCTTTTTTCTCTAATAAATATTGCATAGAAAAATACACAAAATCAATGAGACTTCACCTTGCTTAGAAGATGACAATTTGTAATGAGATGTCGCATCTCATGAAGAACACGTATACTCAAACTATTTTCTCATCGATTCAATAACTAGCATTGAAGCGATAACCTTTTCGAAAAACATGACACAATAAGCTTGAAATCAGAGTCCATAAAATTGTCAATATTCATGTTCCGTCTTCATCACTTGTACCTACTAAGCCACCCTATTTCTTTTTCACTATTCTAAAAATGGCAACAGAAGCTTCAAGCACTGGTCCTACTAATATCACCATTCCATCTCATACAAAAGCTTGGTTCTACTCAGAACATGGAAAACCATTAGATATTCTAAAGTTACATCCTAATTGGTCTATACCACAACTCAAACATGATCAACTTCTCATTAAGGTGGTTGCTGCTTCCCTTAATCCTGTTGATTACAAGAGGATGCATGCCTTGTTCAAGGACACTGACCCTCATCTTCCTGTATGTTGATTTTCTCTTGTATTCAAATTATTGGAGAATATGTATTATTCTTTGTAGTATCGATATCTCTAAAAATTGGTATGATCGTGTCAGTCTCATATCAGTGTCAGACACTGATATCAACGTGTTACTGACACTTGATATTATATTCAATTTGTTATTTCTTTTATAATATTATCGGTGTCAACGCGACGTGTTGTGTCCGTGATTCATAGTTACTTTCATGTTTTGTTTTTATGAACTATTTTGTTCTTGTGTGAGAAGATTGTACCAGGCTTTGATGTTGCTGGCGTAGTGATTAAAGTGGGAAGTGAAGTGGTGAAATTTAAGGTTGGAGATGAAGTATATGGTGATATCAATGAAGAAGGACTTTCAAACCTAAAGAGTCTTGGAACATTGTCTGAGTATACAATAGCTGAAGAGAGGTTATTGGCTCATAAGCCAAAGAATCTAAGCTTCATTGAAGCTGCTAGTGTTCCTTTAGCTATGGAGACTGCTTATGAAGGACTTGAGAGAGCTGAGTTTTCTGCTGGCAAATCTATTCTTGTTCTGGGAGGTGCTGGTGGAGTTGGAAGTTTTGCTATTCAGGTATGTGAAGATTGAGTCTAAGTCTAACTATAAACCGTTGACATAGAGACACGAAAACCGAATCCAGATACACTGACACGTAAAACACCAATAATAATTTTTAAAATAAATAGATTGTAAATAATCACATGGGTGTTGGTGTTAGACACTGAAACGTATCAGATATAAAACACACTTTTGTTCATAGATAGTGATGTTACCGAGAGTCTAATATAATGTTTTTTTGATGGATTAAAATCTAACTTGAGGTTATATTAAGAGACTTAAAATACATAATATGTTTGGGTGCAGCTTGCCAAGTATGTTTATGGTGCATCTAAGATAGCAGCAACTTCTAGCACTGGAAAACTCCAATTTCTAAGGAACTTGGGAGTTGATTTGCCTATTGATTATACAAAGGAGAACTTTGAAGATCTTCCAGAAAAGTTTGATGTAATTTATGATACAGTTGGTAAGTGCTTTAAATCAAATTGTTTTCTATATGCATATTTCTCTGCACACATAACCGTGAGCTTCAGGGTTAGAACTCTGGTGTTAGCGTCTAACCTAACACATAACCGTGAGCTTCAGTGTTAGAACTCTGGTGTTAGCGTCTAACCTAACAGTATCCGTTTTAAAAATCATTGATACTTTGTAACTGTGATTCAGGTCAAGTTGATAGAGCTGTGAAGGCAATTAAGGAAGGTGGAAAAATTGTGTCAATAGCACCTCCTGGATTTCCACCAGCTATTTTCTTTGTGCTTACTTCTAAAGGATCTATCTTAGAGAAGCTAAGACCTTACTTTGAAAATGGTCAATTGAAGCCAGTTCTTGACCCTAAAACTCCAGTGCCATTTTCTGATGTCATTGAAGCTTTTTCCTACTTGGAAACCTCAAGAGCAGTTGGAAAAATTGTCATTTATCCTATACCCTAAAGTATATGTCTTAGTATGTTTTAACTAAGAAAAATGTTAGCAACAATCTCTTCAAAGAAGAAAAAAAAGTGTTCAAGTCATTAGGTTGAAATAAGATATCATAAAAGCTTGTTTTCCTCAAGTCATCATCTTTTTGTATTAACTAGTAGGTTGAAGAACATTCTTTTTTATATATTTGAACTTTCATATCTAATGTGAACCTGCTTTGATATATTTGCACTTGAGTGTGTGTGTGTGAGAATTTATGTCATTATAATTATAATTATTGCGTTACGTTGTTAAGTAACAACAATGTTTAGTAGTTAAACACAATGTTACTCCATGAGATATAAGGTTGATTTGTGCTACAAGATCTAAACTATCTATTGCGATTGTAAATTTAAGTTCTAAAATTAAAATGGAATTGGATCTTATAGTTCATCAATACTAATACAAATTAATTTGTAGTAGACATTTTCTTTTAAGTGTTGTTGGTGACAATAGATCTCATCACTAATTAAGTGTAATTCAAATTTTAGTTTGTATTTCATTTAATATTTGAGTTTGTGTTTGGTTTGTATTTAAATTTGGATTAATTATATAAACTCAAAGTTAGTTACATTTATAATCGATTTTGTAAATTTGAGAAGTTGAGTTTGAGAAAAGTTAATTATAATTACGTTTTATTTATTTCTCTCTCTGCAAATTATTTCATTTTTTTCCTGTGCAATAATGAAGGTTCAGTGTTAAATCAAACAATTGGTATCTAGAGCTCCAGTTCTAATTCACAGGGAAACACGAGTGTGATTGATTTCGTTTTTAAAATTTATGTTGAATTGAAGATCAAAATCAAAGAGAATCACAATCTCGATTCTTAAGGATTGAGAAACACGGGTGTTGGTCAGAACTGAGTGGTTTGCAAAAGAACAAAGATGAACGGCGAAAACAGTAGCTTGAATACAAAGCAGTATTCGATGAAAAAAATTGGAATTGGTGGTCGATTCAGATGTGTATTTTGTTTGACGCTTAAGATGTTCTTGATCTCGTCAATAACGGCTACACACTGGTTGTAGAAAATACAACAGAAGCGCAAAGAAATGCACAATGTGAAATGAGGAAGAAGGATCAGAAGGCATTGTTCTATATTCATCAGTGTGTGGATACAAAGGTGTTTGAGAAGATCGCTGACTCGACCACCGCAAAGACAACATAGGATACACTTGTGCGGTGCTATAGTGGTGACGCATCACTGAAGAAAGCAAAGTTGCAGTCCCCACGTAAGAAATATCAGAATCTCAGTATGAAGAACAACGAGAAGATGCCTGATTATACCTCCATAATGATTGTGGTCACGAATG